CTATCTATCTATCTATCTATCTATCTATCTATCTATCTATCTATCTATCTATCTATCTATCTATCTATCTATCTTTTAACGTCCATTCTTGAATAGTAGGCAATTCTTCCTTCTTCCAGTACTGCGCCACCAACAATCTTGCCGCTGTTGTTAAGTTCAGAATCAAATTAGTCTCTCTAACTATACGTTGTCCTCACCTATCATGAGATCATAAAAATAACATCCAGACATTTGTGTCCTGCTTTCAAGTGCTTCGGAGAACAGGTTGACCCCCCTCAAAAATATGGCAGCCCCTCAAATATTGGAAGACTGCTATCATGTCACCGTTGGTCAGAAGAAGTTCCTTTCACAAGATTGGGAAGGGATCCTTAAGGCCATCTAAACCAACCCCTTGCAAATTACAGCTAGCACAACAATTTACAGATTATAACTGTGGCCCTTGACACTTGTGCAATTCTGCACACCTGTGTGACACAAGGCCACAGCTGAGCCCAAAATTTCCGTTGCTGAGCAGGACAGTTGCGAAGTGAGCTTTGCTCCGGTTCACAACCGTTGTTAAGTGAACCACTGAAGTTATTACGTTAGGAGCACGGTTGTTAAGTAGTGAATCTGGCTCCCCCGTTGAATTCGCTTCTCAGAAGGTCTCAAAAAGGGACGCCACGATCCCAGGACCGACCGTCGTAAATATGAGTCAGCGGCCAGCTGCCTGAATTTGAATTCCGTGACTATGGGGATGTGGCAAGAGTTGTAAGTGTAAAAAAAAAAAAAGCAGTTGTAAGTCGGGTTTTTTTCAGTGCCGTTGTAAATTCGAATGGTCGCTAAGCGAACAGTCGCACGTCGAGGACTACCTGTGCAGGAATCTCTCACTTTTTACCTGCTCTGGCTTGAATCAAGCCTCGCTGCGTTTAAAAATGAGTTTATCCTGCGACGCAACTTTTGCATCATCCCGAGAACCGCCTGTTGCTATTTTTAATTGTGAAGCTACGTTAATTAACAAGGAAATAAAGAATTGGCTATAAGCCTTCTTGGTTTTTAGCCTGCTATTAGCAGGAATTTATTTATCTTTAAAACGAAGGAGCCATGCTTTGTATTCCAATGTTCCTCACTTGACATAATAGTGGCTGAATATCCAATTACTGTGTTAGAAGTGGGCATGTACAGCAAACAGCATTTTAATTCAGGGAGGCTCAAATTAAACTCTCTTAATGGGCGAAATAATAGATTTTCTGATGTAAAGGAGCATAAAGGGCACGATTGTTTAATATATTTTTGGAATGCTTTGCTGGTTTCGGTGCTTTACATAATAGGAAATGAAATGGGAACGATCAAAAATTTGATTTACAAATGATTAAAAGCATCCATTTATTCCCCCCCCTTCTTCAATTAGAAGATATTCATTTCTTCAATAATGTGCTCAGATTGGCAACTGGTTCATACTTACGGCCGTTGCTCCATCCGGGGGTCGGGTGATCTCCTTTTGCGACCTTCTGACCAGGAAAAAAAAAATCAACGGGGGAGCACGATTCACTTAACAACCCTGTTACTCACTTACCATCTGCAGCGATTCACTTAAGAACGGCGGCAAGAAGAGGTTTTAAAGCGGGGCCAAACTCATTTAACAGATGTTCTCACTTAATGATGGAAATTAGGCACTCAAAAAACCTGGTCATAAGGTCGAGAACTATCTGCATTGGATTAAAGGCGGAAGGTGGCAGATGAGGAAAAAAAATGTTTCTTTCTTGAAAATATAGCATGCAATTTCCGGGCTGCTGGTACTAACCTTCCTGTCCAGATGCATTTTGCATGAGGCATCCTTGGAAGGCTAATTAGCGCCGTTGCATCTCGTCCAAAAGACGATAACGGTACCCATTAAGCAGCCGAGATCCTCCAGAAGTGACAGCTTGCTTCCACGAAGCGTGGAAACGATGATGCTTCCTACTTTCCATTTTTTAAAAACCCACAATTGTAAAATCCATATTGTCAACCCTTAAACCATTTGGCACTGACGTCTTCCATTAAAAGCAAAAAAAAAAAAAAAAAAGGACTGAATTTAAGAAGAGGCTGGACAACCATTTGTCTGAAATGGTATAAGGTCTCACGCTTGAGCAGTGGGTTGGACTAGATGACCTCCAAGGTCCCTTCCAACTCTGTTTTCCTTCCTTCCTTCCTTCCTTCCTTCCTTCCTTCCTTCCTTCCTTCCTTCCTTCCCTCTCCCTCACGCGAGGTTTTTCAAAAAAAATTAGGCAGGCCC